TTTTTTGGAATGTGTTGTTGGCATCAAATTCAAAACAGACATATATTTTTCACAAAACTATAAAATTTCTCAGTTTCAACATTTGATATGTTATCTTTGTAGTATATGGTTTAAAAATATGGTTTACATGATTTGCATATCATTACATTCTATTTTTATTTACATTCTACACAGCGTCCCAACTTTTTTGGAAATGGTGTTGTAGTTCTTTGAGTGTTCACAGATCTATATAGAACCATTGTCTAAAAAACCCTTGAAAAAAAGGGTGTATATCTGTGAAAAATAGGCTGGTACTTATGTCCATATGATCAATGTAATGTAACCAAACAGAAATAACACACCAAATTCTAGTGGAAAAGAATAAAAAAAGTTATGGTTGTATTTTGGTACCTTACTCTTTGGTAGGAACTAAAGAGGGGAAACACTGAGAAAACATATAAACTTTATATTATATGTAGCCTTGCTGGTTTGTGCAAAGATGGCTATTTGTTGGATACAGCAGAGCTCAGTCATTTTTTAAGCTAAGGAGTTTATGATGTAATTTGCAGTTTGGCCATTTGTCCTTCCCATCCAATCTGTTTGTCATGCAATCTGTTTGTTTCAAAGGTGCTTTCAAAGTTCCCTTACACAAAACCTCTATATAGATAAACAACCCCTAGAGTATGTTCTACGTGACAATAACAAGTCTGTGAAAGAGGTTATCAAGTGTGGTGCAGTCAATGTTTAAAGTGCTCGTCACCCGTAACTTTAAAGCTATGAATGGGGTTATCTTTTATCCTGAGTATATTAGTGTCTTTTGTATGAAACGGTCAATCAGTACAAACAAGACAAACATCTCACTGAGAATGCAGACAACAAATGTGTGCTGTAGTGCGCATTTGGGCAATGATTTTGAGTCAATGAACGATGTTAAAAAAATGTCAAACTATTTGTTTAGTATCACCCTGTAGATTACATATGCGCACATGAAGCTCTTTGTGTCGTTTTCTTATTTGTGTTTGTTGTTTCCAGTATATTTCCAGTATTTTAGGAAAGTGTTTTGGCAAAACTTATTCAGCTAATCTGTAATCAGATGTTGTGGTGTCTGCTTGTTAAATCATTGACACAGCAAGCAAGTAATAAGGTATAATAATACGTGAGTTCTCTTGGCTTTTTGTCACTTAATGGATAAACATCATGTAAATGCTTTTTTCTAGTGGCTATTTTGGAACATTAAACCTTTGTAATGTGTGGTAAAGGTTATTAGAGCTAGGGTGAGCTCTAGCATCTTAACAGAATTTCTCTTAAAACATTTTAACACAGTTCTAAGCAGCTGTCAGCAGAGGTCTCCCATTCTTTATCATTCCTAAGACCATTGTAAGAACAGAAAAGAGGAAAGGAAGAAGCAAGAAGGAATGTGAACTTGCAAACATTTACTCAATGTACTTTTACAAAATGTATGTGAACTTCTCGAATGAAGAAAGATTATAGATGTACACACAAAACGTTCACAACTTACCTTAGTCATAAAAACACAAAATGAGCCGTGCTATCAGAAACTCAACCGGCACTGTTATCTCCTGTTCTGTTTGCACTCTGTATCTGTAACTTCCAACTTTGCGGCAATAGAACTTTTATCAAATGTGACAGATAGTATGCAGTGCAATACATGAATGTTGGGACAGACACAATTTTTTTTGTTGTTGTTTTGGCTCTGTACTCCAACATCTTTACTTTGAAATGAAACCACCATGTCAGCTATAATTGGAGGTTATTTTTGTCTGCATTAGATGAACCACATAGGAACCAAAGCCCTATTCATGCATAATCACTTCCTTTTCAGAGGACTATTAGTGATTGGATAAAATATCATAATCCAAAGACCTTTATCCTAGGTTTTTCATTTCTGGGTCCATTTATGATAATTATGTGGTTGTAGGAGTGTGTGTTGTCATTAATTTTTACATGACAATTTTCCAACCTTGCTTTATACTTTAAAATCAAACAGGCTGATTTTGTTACTGAGCCTTTAAGATGATGATCTCCGTTCTGATTTACTGCCCTGCATTGTCATTCAAAAAGTAGTTCAGGCTGAAACACTCCATATAACTTCAGTGTAAATGGGTGAGGCTAAACTGCTGTGGGCTGAATATATATGTAAATGCACTGATTGTCTTGACGTCACAAAAAAGTTAATTCAAAATGGACTGTTTTTGCAGCTTATAGGCTCCATATGTGGACTACATGGACTGGGGAGTAAACTTTTAAACAATATTTAACAATGTTTACATACTATATTAAGTTCTTTCCATTTAAAAGCGTGAAGAAAATTTGGTTTTCTATGACATGGGCCCTTTGAATAAAATGATAATGGTTATTAATTGGTTGCAAATCCTTTGCATTAGATGACTGTCTGAAGTCATATGTGACACACAGTCATCACCAGACAATGAGGTTTGTCCCTGGTGATATTCTATCTATAACTGGTTCTGAAATACAACATAGCTCCTTCAGCACAGTGTTTGGTGGCCGTTCTTCTACTCCAGAGTGATATAATCAGCTTTGAGGCATTTTGTGTGGTAACACTTTGTATAGCCCACTGTAGATGGGTTGTAAATGCTTGCATTCAATGTACATTCAACTGAATATTTATTAATAACATATTATCTAATATTACATTACCTTTTTATCTAATATTACATAATATCTTCACTCTGATCCTAAACCTAGCCCTTTTATAACACTAAACCTGTCTAGAATCAACTAAGTTTCTCCAGATAGTTTTTTAATAATTTGAACATCTATAGATCATCTGTAGGGGGCTAGCCAAATAAAGTGGGATCTTTTGTGCATCTGAGCAGTTATGATGCTTCTGTGCATTTCAAAATTCATCATAAAAGACAACTTCAGCAAGAACAGATAGTAGTGTCATATTGTCTCACACAGTGCTTTTCTATCACTCTACCACAGGTTAATCTTCATCTCATCAGTACACTTTGTCCCAGAACTCTACAGAACTGTTGCTGTTCTTTTCAGCAAACTGTAACTCAGTCTTTCTGTTGTTGAGGCCAACCAGTGGTTTGCATATTCTGAAGTATATTTTTCTCATTCTGATTCACATTGACACATTTATGCATACTTGGTAATAGTGTTCTTGATCATTTCGGAAGTTTTTTTTTCACAACTAAAAAAAAAGTTTTTTTTCACAACTATTAATTGGTCATCCAATAGTATAATGTAAGCTCATTTACTGTGATTTTTATTTTTATGCACATGGTGTTCGCTGTTGGCCCTCATGTTGAGAGACAACAGCAAAATACTCCAGATGGAACCGACTCTAGACATGGTATTTGCATCTGGAGTCTTTTGAAATGTCGGCCTTTGAGTCTTGAGGCCTAGCACCAGGTAGTAATGTATACTCTTCAAAATCCAGGGCATTACATGCAATGCTCAAGGCTCTAATCTCTGAACATTGCACTTAGAAAAAAAACAACAAAAGCCCTAGTCAAAACCTTAGTGTCAGTTTAGACCCAATTGAGACCCAGGATTCAAAACCCGCAATTTCTGACCAAGACACAGGTCCCAGATCCCTATACGTCTCAGCTCTGGCATTAGATCCTTTTGATGGTGTTTCAGTGTACCTGATCCTAGGGCCCTGGACTCCAGTACATGCATTGAGTCCAGACCTGTCTACAGCAATTCCTGGCACTGTGTTATTGTTTTGCTATTCTGTGTCGACCAGATGAGGATGGGTTACACTTTTGAGTCTTGGTTCCTCTCAAGGTTTCTTCCTCTTGCTCTTAGGGAGTTTTTCCTTGCCACTGTTGCCACTAGCTTGCTCATGGGGGCTTGGACACAGTTTTTCTGTAAAGCTGCTTTGTGACAACGGCTGCTATAAAAAAGCCTATATAAATAAACTTTGACTTGGCTTGGCTTAGACAATAGCCCATCAGTCTTGCAAAGTAGTACCCAAGTTCTCAATTTTGATTCAGACCACACCTACATCATAAACCATTATATTTAGGCTGTGAGACTTATGCTCAAAATCCATGACTCCATGTCAAGAACAAGGCCTACGCAATTTATCTTTGGTAGAGCACTGACATGACGACCCTGAGGCCTCGTCTAAGTCCGAGCCCCACAAATTAAAATGAAAATTTGAGTAAATGAGAGTCAGACAAAACATTTGAAATGCCATGGCTAGTATCAGTTCCAGATCAGTAACTAGTTCTCTTGTTCATGAACTTATGATACAATGACACATAGCAGGTCAAGAAAAAAAACTGTCAAATATGTCACTGTGTGGAAGGGAATACATTTTTAAAAGCGTTTGTGAGGCTTGAATTGATGCCAAATGTTGCTTGTGATTAACTAGACTGTTATTTTTTACTAAGATGTAATCACAAATGTATCTTAAATCAGACTTAAATCAGTCTGAATAAAACCATGCATACTGATTGGTGGCACATTAAGTACATTTTTTGACTAGCAGATATATATTTTTTTTGTATTCAGGGTATTCAGAATATACTTATTGTTTAGAATTCACACAACTTTAAATGTTTTCTTGAAATTAAATTGTGACCTTGCACCTGTTGTTCCCTGGTTATCTTGAAGTTCCAATTATATACCATGTCATAACCATAGAACTGGTGCAAGAGCACAGGATTATCAGGTTTATCAATTGTCAGCAGAAATAAAGCAACCTTCGGCTTTGCACTGTTGGGACGAGCCTCCAACTGTTCGACCAATCGTTTTAGACAATCAAATGGACAGCACGTCATCTGGTGACGCTCCAAAGAAAGCTCTTGCATCATATGTTAATGTGGGTCAAAGTTTACTCTGGATCAGAAGAGCCACACCAAGTTGATGTACTATCAAGTATTTTCCCTTTTCAAAGAACAAGGTGGCCTGTGAGATAATTAACCAATTGTTGGGTTAATCTTTTACCCGACTACATGATTTTTTATGTGGTTTGAGTGTATTCTGACACATAGCTGTATTTTTGTCCCCTCCTCCAGTTTTCTCCAACCATTTAAAAAAGGCACCAGTACAGGATGAAAAGCATCGAAGAATTACCTGAGCCTCAAGAACGAGTGAATGAAACCTTGTTGATCTCTGTTGTCAAAGGAAAAAGGTAATCTTCAAAGAATTACTTGCAAAAAATTACACTATTTGTTATTTTTTCTTCAGAATTACTGAATGATAACATTGCTCTCTCTCTCTCTCTCTCTCTCTCTCTCTCTCTCTCTCTCTCTCTCTCTCTCTTTCAGGACTTTTGTGAGGCCACTTGCACGGTCCCCCATTGTACCCAGTGAAAACTTTAGGCCCCTAGCACTATGCCACCACAGCTGCACTCCCAGAACCAGTCATGCCCCCGGGTCCTCCAGGGTGATTTGGGCTCTCTGAGTCCTTCTCTCAGAGAGTTCATTGAGAGCAGTATGAGTCTGTGCCAGCCAGATGCCCTGCACATTTGCGATGGCTCAGAGGAGGAGAACAATGCCATTTTGGGCCATTTGCAGGAGCAGGGCGTGATCGAGAAGCTGACAAAATATGAGAACTGGTATGTCTGTAGACCAAGCTAGACTAAGCTCTTTAATTTTGCTACAGACTATGTCAGTAGTATAGCACTCTATTATTTGTGAAACTGTAAAGAGGAAAAGTGAATTGCAGTGAATTCTTAGGCTACATGCAACACAAAATGCAGATGGCAAATGGTCTGTTCTGGTAAAATGAGGCAATAACTAGGACTTACTCTTATCATCCACAGCTGGCTGGCACGTACTGATCCTCGTGACGTAGCTCGAGTGGAGAGCAGGACTGTGATTGTTACTCAGGAACAGCGCGACACTGTTCCCTCACCCCGCGGAGGTGGTATCAGCCAGCTTGGAAGATGGATGTCCCAGGAGGAGTGGGACAAAGCCATGAATGAAAGATTCCCTGGCTGCATGAAAGGTAGGAAACTTTTGTACATCATGCTGGATTACAAAGGAATGTGCACTCTTTAGGATTCAAATTTGAAGATTTTTTTTTTTCACTATTATAAGACACTGGAGTGTTTGATTGTTCATAGTGAAGTACCAGATATACAATGGATTCCTTAAAGTGCTTTGCTATTTTTTGCCATTTTTAATTTTGTATTGTTTCTCATACCTGTAAAGAGAAACCAAATGAACACTGAAATCAAAGATCTGAAATCAAAGATCTAAAATATTAATTCTCTTAAATAAACACTGTGAATTTACAATGGACGTCTGTATTTTTGGTAAGTCATACTTTATTCTTTGGCTCTGTTTCACAGGTCGTACCATGTATGTGATCCCCTTCAGCATGGGTCCAGTGGGCTCTCCTCTATCCAAAATTGGAGTAGAACTGACAGACTCTCCTTATGTGGTAGTCAGTATGAGGGTGATGACCCGAATGGGAAAAGCTGTATTGAATGCACTAGGAAATGGAGATTTTGTCCGCTGCTTGCACTCTGTTGGTTGCCCCCTACCTCTTAAAAGTATGTTTACAGCTCTTAAAATATTTAATGTCTTTACAGACAATAAAAACACTTAAAATAACAACCTTGAATGATAAACGGCATCAATCATATTGCTGTACCAGGATTTCTATACATATCAGTCAAATTTTCTCTTTGTCTCATAGAACCACTTATGAACAACTGGCCATGTAATCCTGACCTAACTCTGATTGCTCATATCCCTGACCAAAGGAAGATTATGTCATTTGGGAGTGGATATGGTGGAAACTCACTACTTGGGAAGAAGTGTTTTGCCCTCCGTATCGCTTCTCGCATTGCTAAAGAAGAGGGCTGGCTGGCCGAACATATGCTTGTAAGGGCTCAGGATATATGTCAAATCAAAAACTTTTTAGAAAACATTCTAGAATTGAATCTGTTGACCAAAAATGCAACAAATGAGCAGTTATGAGATTTGAGCAGTTTTTGATATTATTAACTGACTCAATTTAACAAAAATAAGTCTCCTAGAAAATGTATAAACTGAATAAGTATTTTAAAATGGAAAATAAGGCTAAAATCAAACCTGTAGGTGTTTATGATGTTCAGCCTCTTTAATGCTCTTCATACAGATCCTGGGTGTCACTAACCCAGCTGGTCAGAAGAAGTACATTGCAGCCGCATTCCCAAGTGCTTGTGGAAAAACAAACCTGGCCATGCTGTGTCCAGCACTGTCTGGATGGAAGGTTGAATGTGTGGGAGATGACATTGCCTGGATGAAGTTTGACAAAGAAGGTCAGCAAAGCCACTTCTTATGTTTTCCATATTCACAAAATTGTTAAAACGAATATATATCCTTTAATAATGATCACTGTATTTGTAAAAGGGACCTACAGAAACAGCATTTGAAATACAGAAAAATACCGTCATGCAGTACTTTTTTTTAGTACACAATAAAACTGTTTTCTGTTTCAATTTTTCAAAGGTAATCTTAGAGCCATCAACCCAGAGAATGGCTTCTTTGGTGTTGCTCCAGGAACATCCTCCAAAAGCAACCCTAATGCAATGGAAACCATCTTTAGGAACACAATATTCACCAATGTGGCAGAAACCAGTGACGGGGGAGTTTACTGGGAGGGCATGGACGAGAAGCTGCCAGAGGGAGTGACCATCACCTCATGGAAGAACAAACCATGGACACCAGAAGAAGGTAAGTGCTTTCTACACATGTTTCTGTCTCAATGTTTTCTGTTTCCTTTCCGTAAGGTGGTATTAAAGTTTTTCCAAATGTTGTTGCAGGTGAACCTAGTGCCCATCCCAACTCTCGATTCTGCACTCCAGCTCGTCAGTGCCCCATCATTGATCCACAATGGGAATCTCCTGAGGGTGTGCCCATCGAGGCCATCATTTTTGGTGGACGCAGACCAGAGGGGGTGCCTCTGGTCTATGAAAGCTTCAGTTGGGCACACGGAGTCTTTGTGGGCGCCACTATGAGATCTGAGGCAACGGCAGCTGCTGAACACAAAAGTAAGTGCAGATATCAGAAAAAGCATTCCAAAATGTAATGTACATGAAATCTGTTTTCTGATTTTGCTGTTTCTTCAATGTTTTGTGCACAGACAAGGTCATCATGCATGACCCTTTCGCCATGCGTCCTTTCTTTGGCTACAACTTCGGTCATTACCTGACCCACTGGCTAAGCATGGAACAACGTCCCAACACTAAGCTTCCTAAGATCTTTCATGTCAATTGGTTCCGCAAGAGTCCATCTGGAAGATTCCTCTGGCCTGGGTATGGAGAGAACATCCGAGTTCTCGAGTGGATATTTCACAGGTTGAACGGTGAGGCTGGGGCCATGCCCTCTGCAGTGGGCTACGTCCCTGGTAGTGGCTCCCTGAACTTGAGTGGTCTAAAAGAGAGTGTTAATCTAGATGAGCTCTTTAACATCTCTAGAGATTTCTGGGAGAAAGAAGTTCAGGATATCAGGTTATACTTTGATCATGAGGTTAATAATGATTTGCCAATAGAGATAGAGAGGCAGCTAGAAATGCTGTCGCAGAGAATTAGACAGTTGTGAGATAAATTTGAAATTTGAAACTGAAATATGGTTTGAAGACAAAGACTGAAGAAGATGCCAAAAAAGTGAAACCTCGTCTGTACAATAATTTTAGAAAGTCTCAACAATAATCAAAAAAGTAGCTACTGCAGAAGGCATTACTTTTATATTTAGTGCTTAGAAATTCTGTTCTATCCATTAAATGGGTAGAGTCAGAGAGAGATGAGGGAATAAATAGGTTCAAAAGTTAATTTTTCCCACCTGATCTATTAGTAATGATGTGAACTAAACATTATCAGGGCAATATATTTAAAGTATGATGTGTTTGAAAAAATGTATTATTTAACATTCTAAGTTGTTTTTGTATTCTCTCGACCTTTGTTGTTTGTAAAACCTTTCAAAGATATCAATAAATGTTTCACAGTCGAATGTCATTAGTGTTATGTATTTAAAAGGAAATATCACTGTTTTTACTGATTTCCACAAAATTAAATCCTAAAGATGTTAACAAAGTCATTCAGAGTGGTTTAATGTGAAAAGCATCATTGTAGACAAACATGTTGTATCATAATTGTTCACAACAGTGGTGATAGGAAATAGGGGTCATAGCAATGAATCATACTAACACTGAAATCTTATCTCTTTAGTCAATTTCAGGAGGACTTGATACAAAATAACCGTTCCTACGTTCATTATTTTGCTTTAACTCCCTATAAGAAAAGAGTATTACAGAAACATTGCAATGACAAAATTTCCCATATACGGTCCTAACTTTAGAATAACCCTGCTTTTAACCTTTTGTTTTGACCATTAGCCACGCTATTGAAAAAAGAATGCATGAGATTGTTTTACAAAAGTATTGTGCAAGACGGAAAAAAAATGTATCAATGTTGCCTTCTAACACAATTATTTTCCATCCCCTCCTAATGATTTTCCATTTCATTAAAAAATTATTGCATTAGCATAGAAATAATCTGTGCTCCTTTCCATCAGTTTTGTGTTTACTCATAAAAGCTGTGCTTGGCTTAAAGCTTGGCCTAAGTACTTTACATAGGCCTTCTATTTGCTAGATTTAATTGATCTTAGTCTAAAATACAAAGACATAGTTTTGCACATGGTCATGTTATCACCTGTTTGCTAAGGTCTACAGACGTTTTAGAATAAGGTACTCTGGACAACCATACAGATAGTTGTAAACCAAATGTAGACAAAATAGCCTGTATCCTCCAAGAGAAACAAGGATGTCAGTTTAATTTTAGAGGAGCACTCTGGAACCCACACTCAGAAAAGAAAGCTGGTAGGGTTTCTTGTGAGAAGAATGCCCAGAATTTTCAATAGCCTTATGTCTACATTTAATAAAAGATTCTCAGAGCTTTTTGCAATAAGTTTAGAAAAAATGCAGTTTAATATTGTGCATGGGATTCATTTACAATGCCTTTGAAATATTATTTAACCCCCTTAAAAGTCATCAGATTTATCTTTATTAAAAATGACACACAAATTGTTCCAGACAGTATTTTTCATAGCAAACCAATATGCTCTTATAGTAAATCTTCAGGGTCCATACTGATTTGTCAGCAGATCAACCCCTTCAGAGTAGTATTTGGTAGGACCACCTTTCACTGCAATAACAGCTCTAAGTCTGTTGGGCTAACTTTCAACCAGTATTGCATACTGTAATAGAATGACTTTCACCCATTTTTCCTGGCAGATTTGCTCCTTCTGCTTGGGACCTCTGTTTTTGTCTCACCTGACTACAAAACCGAATCCCACATTTTAGCTGGGTCATTCTGATGCTTTTTGTCAAACTCCAGACATGCTTTGTTGCAGACATGCTTTGATGCTTTGTTTTTTCTTCAGCAATGGCTTCTTTCTAGCCACCCTTCCAATCAGACCAGTTATATGCAGAGCTTGTGATATTGTTGACTAGCGCACTATCACTCCAGTCTCAGCCACTGAACTCTGTATCTCCTTCAAAGTAATTGTGGGCCTCTGTTCACAAGTTCCCAATCTTTCTCTGATGCTGACTCCACTGTCATTTGGGGGCTGTTTATTTTTTAACTTAATCTTTGGACTAACTTCCATAATTATGAAGTCCAAAAATACATGTCTGAAAGGTCATTGACAACTTTAAAGTTCTCAAATAAGTTCTCAGTCAAAGCCTGTAGTATTTTGACGGTATTTACTGATGCAGGCACATTCAAATGGAGTATTCAGTTATTTCACTTGAAATGCCCCATAGAAATGATCAAACATTTATTCTGATAGGGGTAACTGGATTAAAATAGGTGAAAAGCACACAAATACCTAATTCTGCCTGCACTCTCAAAAAAGGCACTAAACTGTCACTAGGGTGGTACCCTTAAGGGTACATATTCAGTACCTTTAGCTAATTAGGGAACATAACTGTACCATGGTCATGTGCAATTACTACGCCAATTCCAAAAAAGCTGGGACAGTATATGAAACGCAAATAAAAATAGAAAGCAGTGAAGCCATTTTTAAATCTACTTTGACTTGTATTTAAAGAAAAACTGTACAAAGATACGATATTTAATGTTTTACCTTATCAGCTTCATTATTTTTTTGTAAATATACATGAATTGTAAAGAAATTTAAGACTAGGAACATTGTTAAATGTTCAGAGGTGATGTAATCATGCATGGGTATAAAAGGAGCATCCTGGAAAAGCCTAGTTCTTTATGAGCAAGCACTGGTCAAAGTCCACCACTTTGCCAAAAATGCATCAGCAAATAGCAGTAAACTTTCTTCAAGGAGCGTTTGCAAACATTTTAAGTATTTTACCCTCTACAGTGCATAATATTATCCAAAAGGAATCTGGAACATCTCTATGTGTAAAGGTCAAGGTCACAACTGAATGCTTGTGACCTTCAATCCCTCAGACAACACTGCATTAAAAACCAGCATGTTTCTGTCAAGGATATCACCATGCTGAAAGACATATACACATTTGGAGCAAGATATTCTGTCTTCTAGATGTTTTTAGGGACATCCATACTTGTTTCAACATGACAATGGCAAGCCACATTCTGCGTGTTACAACAGCATGGTTATGTAATCAGAGAATGCAAGTGTTAGACTGGCATCCCTATTAAAAATGAATGGTGCATAATGGTGCAAAATATTACAATGAAGGTCCCATACGGTTGCACAGCTTAAGACTTGTGTAATGAGAAGAATAGCAAAAAATTTCACTTTCAACTGGATCAATTGGTGTTTTCGGTCCCCAAATGTGTATTTAGTTCTGTTAAAAGGAATGGTGATGTAACACAGTGGTAAACATGCGCCTGTCTCAACTTTTTCGGAACGTGTTGCTGGAAATATATTTGAAACGAGCGTATATTTATATGTATGTGTATTAAAAAAAGTTCTGTAGGTAAAACATCAAATATCATATGTTTGCACTGTTTTCAATTTAATATAAACAAAATTTACTGATATTTCATTTCAGTTTTTATTGGCATTTCACACATTGTTCCAACTTTTTTGAAGTTGGATAAGTGTATTTTTTAAATTACATTGACTTCATACACCCTGTCTTGGCTCCAGGCTTTTTATTTTATTATTCCTTTTTAAAACATTAAGCTATGAAAAGTACACATATTCACCTTTCCCCTGGGAGAGTGCATGTATCTTTAAAACTCACTTAAGATACTCACCTTATGACCATAAGACCTTAAGACTATTGCTGTACTTTTGAAAGTACATTTACATTGTTGGTACTTTGGTGAACAAAGTACTTTTTCCAACAGTGTATAATTTTTAAGTATATGTTGTGCATACACAAATAAGAGATAAGTTATATATTCAAAATGCTAACTGTTCTGAATTCTGTTATTTATTACACTGACCAACTGGGGATTTAGGCAAAGCATGCACTACATATTGCTACTTTACTATAGATCTCAGCTGGAGCTGTGTGCACCTACATGAAATTGCATTATTACTTGATATAGCCGTGTTAGTTAACTTGGGTTACAGTACTGTCAAACCATAATGCAATGTTGCTTACATTGTCAGATTTGTAATGAACTTGAAACAAATGCTGGAGAAATGCAGCCAAAGGAACAGAGCTGTGCTTCACAAACAACTAGTAATTAAATGAGTAATTGCAAATGTTTGTACAAGAGAATGCAAAACTGCTGTGAGAGAATATAACATGGTTGTTTTATGTCTCTTTTAGAGTTGTTTCCCTTTTTTATTTTAATTGCACTCATTAGCCTAAGCAATGTGCTCAGGCTGCAGGTGTAGGCTTTGAAGTATTTATGTGAAAGTCTGTCATCACACACATACTGTACACTGACAAAACATATATTTCCACATGTGAGAAACAAATAAAAAAAATAAACAAAAACTAAAACAAAAAATGCCCTCCCCATAGCTAACTTGCTGCTATCTGATTAGTAAAAGTTAACTGCCATTTATGTCTTATGTCAGTTAATCTGAATCAACCAAGAAACAGCAATTTTGACAACTTTTGAAAAGATTTATTTCAAACTCTTTAAAGGAAAAAAAAAATAGGAGAAAACATTTTTTAGGAGAAAAAAATCAAAGAGAGGTATTTATACTTAACGATGCATGCAAAATTATCATTATTTTATGTATAAAAATTATTATACATATTCTTTTTTTAACAGGATTAGTTTGAAACATAAAAAGGTAGGTATTGCAAAGTTCCTCTCAAAGAAATATAATGAATAAAATACGCTTCTGTTGATATAACTATTCATTTGATGTCAAACTTATCTTTTTGGTTCACATAAAAAATGGGGAAAAGCAGTAAGCCTTCAACTTTTTTGACCCCTTAAAGTTGTTATGGCCACCCAATGGCCACCACATTTATTCTGCCCTAAAATCACCACTGGTTCTCCCTAACAGAATGGCAGTTGTAAAAAGGCAAACAGTGGACACGCTTAATAGAAAAAAGTTGTTGAGGCTTCTGTGCAATTTTCTATTGAATATGTTTTCTGTTTTTATTCAAGAAGCTAAACAGGAAATAAATAACCGTACTTACTTACCTGTACTTAATGGCCACATTACTGGAAATTAAATAAATGAAAGGGTGGTCTCTGACTTGTACACAGTATATATATACACACACACTGTATGTAAAGCTTTCATGTGTAAGAGACAAGAGAAAATCACCTTTGCCTCATTAGTTTGTGACATCTGGAACTGGAGCTATTGCATTAGAGGGCAGCTGGAGTGGGCTATTAGACTTGGCCAGTATTCAACCTCTTGACGTCAAGCTGCTGAGTCCCCTACACACTCTTACACACATGGACGATGAACTACTTTTTCATTTCTAGACTCTCTGGACTTTGCTTTACAAGACTCATACAATGTACTTTACATTCTATTTGGCCTATTTG